CGATTCTTCCCCATTGGAACACATTGAACAGGTTTCAATGCATTCCAATGGAGAAATGCTTTTCGCTAGACGATGATTAAACTAAACAGCGATTTCAGTGGAACGGATTATCATCATCTAGCGAGGCACCACTGTACTGAGTATCCTTACTCAGCACACAATGGAAGTTTAAATTGCCTTAAGCTCTCTTAAGTGCCGGTTCATTACTTAGACCGAAAAGGGGGAAAATACCACTGCCTACATCTCTGATGTTGGCTCAGTGAGAGTTCAACAATACTGTCAGTTTTAGTGACTCTCCAGATAGCGTTTGGATATTTTTAAAAGAAAGTATTATTAATATAAGTGAGTTGAATGTATTCTCGAAGGCTTTCACAGCCAGGATCTGATGGTGGACCATCAACCATAAGTGAGTTGCTTTCTACATATAATAAAGGCAGAGTTGACCCAAGATATGTTTCTGCTTGAGACAAATGACGAGATGGCGGCCTCTTCCACAACTGTAACTAGGGTGGTATGACTTGGGCTTTGACCCAGGATGCTGAAATTTAGAGGGTGCAAAACTTTGGTGCTGGAAGGGCACAACCCCACCTGTTGATATTTGTTGCTGGACAGACATGAATCTGACCACCCAGACACAACAAAACACATGAACAGGAAAGCTCAGTACTGAACTAATATGGCATGTGATCAAACTCAAACATTCCTTCCCAGCTCCTCATCTTCTTGTTGGAGTTTTTGTAACCTCGTATGCTGCCTTTAATAGATTTGACTGGGAGGGATCATTCTGGGCTGGGTGACTGTCAGTCTATTCAGAACTACCTGCCCCTGAATTCAAAGAGTGCCTCTCTGCTCAGTGCTTTCTCTCTGTCTAGAGTCTGTTGCAGTCTGTTGTTGAAAGCGGTCATTGTCAGTTTGCTGTTTGATCTGTTCAATTTTAAGTAATGGTACCATACCTCTTGCTCCGCCTCCTACATGGAATTGTTTGCCTCCTGTTTTAGGCTATTAATTTTTATTCCATCTATTTATGCATTTAATTATGCTTTTTCACTGTTTTTATTTTATTCTGTTGTAAACCACCCAGAATAGGACAGTATATAAGTTAAAGAACTAACTAACTAACTAAATGTTGTTCTTTCCCCTAATAATGTCTCCGAGTGAATTATTGGGACTGTGTGTGCCAGTTAATGAGAAAGGTAAAGGTTCCCCTTGACATTTAGTCCAGTCGTGTCCGACTCTAGGGGGCGGTGCTCATCCCCATCTCCAAGCCATAGAGCCAGCATTTGTCCATAGACAGTCATGTGGCCAGTGCAACTAGTCACAGAACATCGTTACCTTCCCACCGTGGTACCTATTTATCTACTCGCATTTTTACATGCTTTTGAATTGCTAGGTTGGCAGAAGCTAGGACAAGCGACAGGGGCTCACTCCGTTGCGTAGATTCGATCTTACGACTGCTGGTCTTCTGACCTTGCAGCACAGAAGCTTCTGCAGTTTAACCCACAGCGCCACCACATCCACTGTTAAGGAGAAAAGAGGTGGACTAATCTGGGGAACATGAAGCTATTCTGCTCTGTGGAACCCTGTACTTTTGCTGTGCAGCTAAAAGAATTTAACAGCAACAACAAACATTCAAAGCCCTGCAACACTTCCTTTGTATGGCAATTTCACATGACCCAAGTTTAGCTAACAGAGCAGCAAAACAAAAACTGTCGCAGCCGTGTCCCCTTCCATTTCAGGTACAAAACCTGATGTGACTGGCACTTCACCAGCAGCAGTGTGATTGCCCAACCACCTTACAATGAGTGAAAGAAAACATTCCCCATTTTTCCTATCGTTGCTGTAAAAGACTTTACAGTACTTTACAATATCAACAGGATAAAGTTATTTTCCAATGGTTGTTGTAGGTTTTTTGGCTGTTCGGTCATGTTCTGGAGGTTTTTCTTCCTAACATTTTGCCAGTCTCTGTGGACGGCATTTTCAGAGGAGAGGAGTCAGAACTCTTGTGCTCTGTGTTTGTGAACATAGACAGAGTTCTAACTCCTGTCCTCTGAAGATGCCGGCCACAGAGCCTGGCGAAACCTTCAGAAGAAAAACCTCCAGAACACGGCCAAACAGCCCAAAAACCCACAAGAACCATCAGATCCCGCCCGTGATTTCTTTTCTTAAGATGCAAAGCCCACACTTCGTAGCCACTTGTTCAAGACAACAGAGTACACTGAAGGGCTAAGCTAGAGTTTGAACCCAGATTTTCCCAAATTAGAAGCCAAGCCCAGGTGATCAAATTTGGGCAGCCACTGGAGAATCATATTTAAAGCCCCTCTCAACCATAAACCACAGGCGTCCATTTGCCAGCATTCACACAAGCTCCTTCACTTAAATACATTCAAATGCAAGAAGCCTAAAATAATAATTTCATACAAAATGGGATTTAGACTGAGATGTGGTGGGAGCTTAAATTGAGCATTCAAAAGATGCTGCCTCTCTACGGGGCGGGGCGGGGCTCTTACCAAGCGATTCACCATCTTCAGAAGTGAGATTGCAGTCTGTCAATTTTAATGTTTTGAGTTTAGAACCTTTGGGAATTTTGGCAGTTAGAAGAGACAGGCTCCCACCCAGGCCGGTATTCCATGATAAATCCAGTATTTCAAGGTGAGAAATTGTTTCCAGTGCGTCACCTGTAAAAACAACGCTAGTAAGAACCTACTTAGGATGAGTGAATCAATAATATATCTCTCACATATTGATTTTAATGCAAACAACAAGAAGACACTATTCTCCATCTCTTACATTTTTGTTGGAAAATGCAACGTTTATAATGCTTTTGGGCACAGCTTGCCAACTCTCTGCTCTCACATTTCATTCCAAATTATAATATAGTAGGAACTCCATATCAGCCGTTTCACTTATCTGTGTTCTGAAAATATTTGAAGTATTAAAAGAAAAAAACTAGAAATGTGTATTTTCACAATGTAGTTGCCAGATCTAGCCACTAGAATAATACAAAACATGGTCTCTGGCTAGCCTCTGGTGGCCAATTCTGGTAATACATGGTGAAAATATGTATTTTTGGATTTTTTTTCTTTACCATGCTATGTATAACAGCTGCTAATTCAGACACAAAGTTCAATTCTAACAAAGGCAGTTGCCTTCCTCTTCAAATCTTTTACTCTTTTAAAAGCTCTTTTTAATAACTATTTTAATTGTTAATGCAACAGCTGTCTGTTCAAGCACACACACACACATTTTTGTAAACAATTATGTGAACACTTAAGAACACTAAATTCCATTACATGTTTAATTTGGAGTAATATCTGCTCATGCAGACATTTAATCCAAACTTCAGTTTGCTGCTATGGAACTGTGTTATGCTGACATTTATTGCATAGGAAGTTAATTCCCATAGTTCCTACGAGGACAACATATGCATGCAAGAAGTACCTATGACTTTAATACTTGACTCCTGGCCATCTTTTATGTTCACTTCTAAGTAGCAGGGAAATGACAGAGGCCAAAATCCTGTTGTATAGCTATGCCTTTGTAACCTGAAGTTGCACCAAGAGGGAAGTCATATTCAGAAAGCAGTTCCACAGGTGCAGTTGCACAACTAATTGCACAGTCAGACATGTGAACTGCCTGGACATAACACCCCATTAACTGTTGCAGGTTTGACTTTACACTATGCAAAGTGCAACAGGATTTCAGGCAGAAATCTCAGCATTAAATGTAAGACCTTAGAATGGTCCACATCCATTAATCCACTTGAAGGCAGCTACAAACTAAAGGCAATCTCAGGTTTAGTCCAAAATGACCCTACATGGGTTACATATCTGTGTACGGCAGAACTCACCAGCAGCACTTAATGAAATAAACCCTTGTTATAGCGTGCTGAATTAAATTACGCAACTACTTGAGGATACCTAAAAAGGCAAGATCCTTGGCTGTGAGTCGGCAGTTGCTCAACTGGAGAACTTTTAGTTCTTGCAAGTGTTTGAACTGCAGGGGAAGAGGTTCTAGTGCCCCTCCAATGAAATCATTCCAGGAAAGATCAATCTCCTCTAGTTCTGGCAGCAAATGTATCATGGAAGCTAGAAGGAAAGGGAGAGCAGCAGAAAAAACCATATTTAAACAGTGAAGACAGTTCCAAAGTTATGAGCCTCTCTTAAAAGGGTCTCATTCACACTTAAAAGGTGCAATTTATTTTGTCTCTCACTTGAGCAATCCTTCTGTTCACACTGACTGTTGTTTTTCTCCTGTGACAAGGGTCAAGAGAGGTTACAGATCTCTCCAGTTTGTCCCTTTTGCGATTAATGACACTACACTTTGCACACGCTTCCCTGCCCTTTCCTGCTGCTGTCATTCAGCAGGCTGTGGTTACTTTCATTTTTGTTTGTTTATTAAACAAAGTAAGTGACATAATGAAACAGCAATGCATCCACCTAGATGATACCCATGATGCTGCCAATGTATCTTGTTTACCTAGAATAGCGCTGCATCAGTAGGAAAAATAGATACTAAACAAAAATTTAAAATACAGTGGTGTCTCGCAAGACGATGTTAATTCGTTCCGCGAAAATCACTGTCTTGTGAAAACATCGTCTTGCGAAACGTGGTTCCCCATTAGAATGCGTTGAAATCCAATTAATGCGCTCCAATGGGGGGAAATCGTCGTGTTGCAAAAGTCGCCCATAGAGAAACCGATTTGTGAAGCATGGACTCAGCTGTTAAAATTGTCGTCTTGCGAAAATGGTCCCAAAAAAACCATCTTGTGAAGCACGGACTCAGCTGTTAAAATCGTCATCTTGCGAAAGATGGTCCCAAAAAAACCATCTTGCAAAGCACGGACCGAAACATCGTCTAGCGAAAATCACCCATAGGGGAAACCGTTTTGCGAAGCGCTATAGCGACCGCAAAACCCCCATCGTCTAGCGAAAATCACCCATAGGGAATTAACCGTTTTGTAAGGTAATTGTCTAGTGAGGCACCACTGTAGTAAAGTACATGAAAATAGAGGAGGGATGCCATGGCCCACCAAATATGTCACAGGGTTGTTTCCTCAGATAACATGGCCCACAGCTTTATTTTGGTGTGAACTAGCCATCTGCACAGACTACAGAATGTGCTAAGAGTCCTCTGACTTGCACCAAAAAAAACCCTGTAGCCCTAGCGCTGTGCAAAAATGGAGTGGGGCAGCTCTAAAAACGGGTGGGATGGATCACTCTGAGTCAAAACACATGTGGACACATAAACCAAACAGCAGCAAGAGCAATTCAGAATGTGATCTATTCTGCCAGTGGCTCTAAAAAGGGGTGGGATGGATCACTCTGTGGACACATAAACCAAACAGCACCAAGAGCAATTCAGATTGTGATCTATTCTGCCTGGAGACGGACCCATATTCTGATCTTCTTAGCCTACAATGACAGTCTTGGAAACTTCATGCAGTCTGAAAAACATGTGATTCTCTGCGGTTGTGTGGATAAAATAAGTAGCAACAGTAGAAACAGATGGATATCAAGTGCAATGCCCTTTTTTTGTAGTTTATGCTTGTGCTGTCTCCCTCATAATTCAAGGGCTTTAAAAAAAAGGCCTGAAGTACGAAAAGGAATATTCATAGTTTGGACAGAGAAGCTGGTCACCCGAGGCAGAGAGCGCTGCCAACTACAAAGGGATGGGACAGGATTGGTAGAGGGATTAAGAAGAGTGACACTGAACCCCTGGATAGATGCTCGAATTCCATACAACCACTGTACAAATGGTGAAGTCTACAGGTAGAAAAACTAGGAAGATGTCACTGGGGAAAAGTATTGAGTTTTCACTGCAGCAAAAGACATACTCACCTAACTCAGCTACATCCCTCGAACTTAATGCACAATTGTTTAAGTCCAAAACCTTCTTAGAAGGCTGTCTGCCCAGTTTCTCCAGGAACTGCTTAACTTTCCAGTGACAACGGGCTGTATTTGCTATGGGAACAGGAAATAGTAAGTTATCTGCAGAAACAGAGCATAAAGGATGCTGTGACCTGGCTGGTTTTTAATAGTCCACAGTGACTGCAGAAATAATCAAAACTAAGTCTTTGACCAATGCAGCGGGTTGGAGCTGCTCGCTGCAGAGCCAAGAGTTGGGACTTCAAATCCTTACCATGACTCTCAGGAAAGGGTTCAGCTGAGATCACCCAGAGCATGTATAGCTGATGGGGTTGCGTGCAGCCTTGAGCATGGATGCACAGCACCACCAAAAGGAGAGGCTGGTAAACCACTTTTGAGAGCTTTATACATAGAAAAACCTTGGAAAAAGTCCTCATAAGTGAGAATCAACTTGATGGAATATCATAATAAGGAGAACTTTGACCAGCCTTCCTATCTGATAAATGAAGGCACAGCACAAACCTACAATTGTGTCAATCATCTAAAAACACTAAAAGGACCTATAAAAACACATTTAAAATGCAATACCCAAGATTTAAAGAGACTTCATCTTTAATGCCCAATGTAATTTAAAAATCTCTTTAAGATGAAATGCCTTTACCTGTTTCCATAAGGACAAGAGGGAGGAGATGAAACCTCACCTCTGAGCGGACGACATTTTTCAACCTAGGAGCAACCACAGAGAAGGTCCTCTTTCATGTTCTTACTAAACACGACTGAGTGGCAGTGGGACTGAAAGAAGGGCCTCATGTGAAGAATTTTATGGGGGGAAAATGGCATAGTGCTGAGACCGGTTGGGAGGAGGGAATAAATAAATAAAGCAAGCTGCTGCCCAGGATAAGGCCTGAGTAGCTGCATCTGCATTGATGAAAAGAATAAAAAAGGAAAAATCCTCCCAGATTCAGTAGAAAATATAGCTTCCTCCTCCAGGGAAACTAAAATAATAGTTTTACATTTGTAGCAAAAGCCAACTGTGAACAACACAGCTGATCAAAACATAAATATTTGCATTGCATGTTTTTTTTTTCATAAGGTGAAGGATTATTGTACAAATGTTTATCCACAGCTTTAAAAGAACAGGAGACAAGCCACCTGAAATACAGTATGGGGGAGAGGTAGAGTTCAATTAACTGTTATGTATGTGTGCAAAATCCATTCTGAAGGAAATCAACCCTGAGTGCTCACTGGAAGGACTGATCGGCTTCAATACTTTGGCCATCTCATGAGAAGAGAAATCTCCCTGGAAAAGACCCTGATGTTGGGAAAGAGTGAAGGCAAGAGGAGAAGGGGATGACAGAGGACGAGATGGTTGGACAGTACCATCGAAGCTACCAATTTGACCAAACTCTGGGAGGCAGTGGAAGACAGGAGGGCCTGCCGTACTCTGGTCCATGGGGTCAGGAAGAATTGGACATACCTTAATGACTAAACATCAAATGTGTGCAAAGTGCATTGTAAAATGAAGATGATATAGTGGCAGAAGTAACTCTGAGCATCCTTAAAAGCATTGGTTCCCAAACTGGGGGAGGCATTCCCTAGAGGGGTATATGGAGACAATCCAAGGGGCATATAATACTATGAGACTTTCTGAGATGCAGTCATCATGGTACAGGGGAGTGGAATCCAATAACAAGACTCAACCTCAGCAACAAGCACCACGCAGGACCTTCAGACTGTTGCTGAAGAGTAATGGCTGTGGGTAGCAGCAGGGAGCAAGCACCACCATGGACAACACCCACAACATGTTGCCTCTTTCCTCTCTAAGAAGGGCAACAACTCTTGAAGGTGTGCACTCCCCAAGACCCAACAGAAGTTCAGATCCAGCAGTCTAAACTTGGCTGCACCGAGAGACTACAAGTGGTCTTCTTTCTCCTTCTTTCAGCCACAATTTATTGTTATGATGTGCTCTCCAGCTGCTTTTAACTTAGAGTGACCCTATAAATTAATGACCTCCTGCTACCAACAGCACTACTCAGTTCTTGCAAAATTAGGCCATGGTTTCCTTTACTGAGTCAATCCACCTCATATTCAGTCTTCTTCTTTTCCTACTTTTCCTTTTCTCTATTTTTAAAGAAAAGATACCATTTCCAGAGTTTGCTGATAGAGAGATAAAGATGTCCAAAACAAACAAACAAAAAAGAACAAAGAGAAGCAATCCACACACAGTATCAGTAATTTGATTTCAAGCTGGAGTCCACACAAAAAGCAGGGGGAAAGATACCGCTTACAAGTCATTCAGACAAAACGTGTATCATCTATCACCAAACCAATTTTCAATCTGGACAGCTGCGTGGCTTTAATGGAATTATACTACCTTATAATCAGAATAAGATCAGGTTTAGGTCAAGGAACACTGGCGTATCAAGAAGAAGAAAAAGCCACTAATACAGATTCACAGTGTTCAGGCCCTTTCATACATTATGGAAAAACACAAACACTTTAATGAGAGTTAGATGTATCAGCTGAATATTAAATAATAATAATAATATCAAAACTGGTAGGTCACCCACTTTAGGCATCTCCTGCTTCTTGGACCATGATACCAAGGACAGTCATGTCATGATGTCGCCAGCATCTGTTGCCCGAGGCAAACACTTCACCTTGAATCATTATAGACCCATGGCTATAGAGACATTAACTATTAAACTGTTTAATGCTTTTAGTACATGTATGGGACTAAATCTGGTTGTTACTTCCAACTAGAGTAGATCTATTTGAACCAGTGGAACTTGTTAAACCAACACATATTTTAAGTACCATTGATTCCATGGGTCTTCTCTAAGGTGCCTATATGGGTCTTCTCTTTAGCAATTTCTTGAATGGGAGAAGCTTGTTTGACTTTCAAGGCTGTTTCCTACAGAAATAAATTTTACAAGGATCTCATTTCCATTCGACAAAATGTGTTTATCACATGTGAAGTGTGTATCTGCATAGTTTATCCTGCAAACATATGGTGGAAATTCTTGCATCTTGAAGCCTATACAAACACCAGCATATACACTATAAATACAGTAATAGTATATCAAATTTCCAACACTGGAATGAGATCACAGTGTAGCAAAATTGTATTTTAATGAAATATGTGGGAGTGCCTAATGTTATGGTAGAAGCCATTATTGGCAACTCTGAGTTTACAATGTAATAGAGATTTATGCAATACTTATGCTAACACCTGGTGCTTTGGTCTGTCAGTATTACCTGGTTATGAGAGTTTAATAACAATAACAATAACAACAGCCACAAGTAGTAGTAGTAGTAGTAGTAGTAGTAGTAGTAGTAGTAGTAGTAGTAGTAATCATAGTAATAGCAGTAATAGCAGTAGTAATAATAATGTGCCATCAAATCAATTCTGAGTTATGATGACCCTTTTCTAGGGAGAGAATTCTCCAAGGTATCAAAAATGAGGAAGCTAAAATCTTGTGGGATTTCTGAATCTAAACAGACACTTTGAACATAATACACCAAACACAGTAGTTATAGAACCAAGAAATGTCTGGATCATTGACACTGCAACTCCAGGAGATTCCAGAGCTGAAAATAAAAAAGTCATTGGAAAAACTAAAATAACAAATAAGACTAAAGTAATGAATTGGAAAAACTAAAAAAGTACACCTGCCAAGTGAAACATATCCCCTCTTGAAAAAACACACTTCAATGGTCCCCATAGTCATTGGGGCTTTGGGAACAATATCAAGAAATTTCACACACTACTATAAGCAGTTGCAGATCTCAGAAATAACACTATCAGAGCTACAAAAATGGCAATATTAGGAAGAGTATATATACTGAGCCAATATTTAACAGATACTTAGGTTTTTGGTTAAAACCTGTATCTGTTATATAATACCAGTCAATGTTTTTATAATTTTGACTGTGCCTGTTGCTTTTGAATAATAATAATGTGCCATCAAGTGAACTCTTATGGTGTCTTATGGTGACCCTGGTCAGGGTTTTCTAGGGAGAGAATTCTCAAAGGTGGGTTACCATTCCCATCTTCTGGGGGCATCTTGGGATTATGCAGCTTCCCAAGGCCACATAGGTAGCATTCTATAAAACTCGAAATACTTACATGCAATACTCATTGCCAGAGTGTTTTAACAAAAAGAAACAGCCTACCATCAGAATCCATTTTTCTTGCATTGCAACATTTTATCCTCCAAAGAATATTCTTGTCTTGTAAAACAAATCAGTTTTGATGCTGTGCATTCACTCAGCTTTCTCTCGATTTCATTCCAGATGCTTCAGTCTGCTTCATGTAGTCTCCTGGAACCACTCTTTTCTTTGTGCGAGCTTTCCTATGCAAAATGCACAACTTGGTAAAGTATAGAACTTCTGCTTCTCTGAAGAACAGTGCAGAATTCAAGCATCATGTTTGTACACCAGGAAAGGCGTTCTCTTAGTAAAGGTGTTCCCAGAAATATTTCCTTTGTTTTTTTTCCATTTCATTTGAGTTTTATCAAAGTTGAACAAATAGATTTTGTTTTACTTCCTTGGACGTTTCACTTGTACAGTTCTTTCTTTCTTTCTTTCTTTCTTTCTTTCTTTCTTTCTTTCTTTCTTTCTTTCTTTCTTTCTTTCTTTCTTTCTTTCTTTCCGATCTCAGTTCCAAAATAAAAGTAGAAGTAGCTTTAGTAGACTTTGATATGACTAGACTTTTCTACCTGTGACTGAAATTGTTGGCTGCTGATTTGTTTGGGGAGGGCTGAGTTGATTTACAGCTCAAGTTACAAGCGTACCTGCATAAAAAGCTCATTGTGTAGTCTTTCTCTCACACTGATTATACTTTGAAGATTATACTGTGAGACCTTTGGGAAAGTCAGAAGATCAAACATGTCTGTGGGAATGGAGTTATGACACAAAAGTATAGTGTGATAGCCATTCTTTCTCCCTTGAAAACACTTCGCAGTCATACTGTATTGAATTTACACCTACAACAAAATCCAGTTAAGTAATATCCCCATTGTATAGATTCAGAATTGAGGCTAAGAAGCCATGCTTGGAAACTTTGGGGGCTGATATGCCCCTGAATCTAGGGGTTGTAGTATTTCCAAGCGCTGATAAAAAGTCAGTGGCTTACCCTAGAGAAAACCCTACCCATGAAATATGTTCCAGGGTTTGAAGGCTTGTTCCCACTGTCAGTGTGGAGTGGGCAGGATTGGCAAAATAAGGTCAGTAGGAGAACTGGTATGTTATCTGGTGCAATCCTCACATCCAGATAGCATACGGGACCTATTTGGTCTGCAGCAGCCTTTCTCTAATCTGCCAATAATAATAAGAGAGCCACTTCAGGATACCGACAAATTAATCACTTTTTTGACTCCCCAGCAGAGGTGCAGGGGAAATGAAAAAAATATATTTTTTAAAAAAGTGTGGTATTGGTCAGCTTCCAGAAGCTTTCCTTTGCTTCTCTTTTGAAGATCTAGTCAAGAGCCCAACTGATTTGGCTGGGTGGAGTTGCCTTTTACAAGGGGCCAGCAGAGAAGCAGCTGTAGGAAAAGACAGGAGGGGCAACTAGGAAGATTTTTATTTTGTTTTTTTTAATCAGGTCAAGAGCTCGTTGAGAAAAGCAAACAAAATTCCCCCCTCATTGCCCCCCCTGCCACTGCTGCTCCATTTGCCCCTTGTAAAAAGCCAAGCTAGGCTCCATCCCCCCCCAACACACATAAAGAGACAGACAGCCAAACTGGGCAGGCTCTTGACTGGATCTTTAAAGCAAAACCAAAAGAAAGCTTCTGCAATCAAGCTTTTCATCTGTCTTTTAAATAAAATGGCCAAGGAGCAACACACCCAGTTTTTGAGGGGGAAAAAATTAAAGCAGACGAGTAAAGGTATGAAGAATTGAATTCCAGGAAGTTACATTTGGGGACTACAATTCCCAGAACATCCCGAACAACATTGCCAGGGGGTACTGGACCTGAGAGTAAGCGCATGACACTTTATTTATGTATGTATTTAAACTTACACTTTGCCTATCTATTGGACAAGCAACCAATCTGGGCAGCTTCCAAGACAATAGCATAAATATACAGATAAAATTTAAATAATAAACAAGCAAAAAAACCCCACCCCCATCTTACAAACATTAGAAAAATCAAGATGGCGAACCATGGGGTCATCAGAAAATTGCCTCAAAATTAAGATTAAAGAGAAGTGAGGTTTTCAAAAGCCTGGCTAAAAAGGCAGTTTTTAATTTCTTTCCTGAAACTCAGGGGAGTGGGGGCCAATCCCACCTCCACAGGAAGGGAGCGGCCACTATCAAGACCCAATTTTTAGTTAATGACCTCTGGGTCTCTTTTCACTCTAGTCCAAAGTTGTGTTGTGCTGGGTGAACACATCACTCTGCAAATATACCAAGGGTGTGAACACAATGTAAGGGTAAGAAAAGCTTATCTCTGTTGATGTACATAGTTATGGTATAGCAACAGACTCAATAAACAGTGGTGACATATTGCATCTGGTCTGCAAAACCTTACCACAACCTCAGTTTCTCACCAATTACCAGAATCTCAGAGTGATCACATAATTTCCAAACTTCTTCCAGGTTAATAGATATTATACTTTCTTTTTTACTGATGCAACAACACATTCTCCTAGGAGCACATCCTCTTGAACATGGCACACACATAGAATGTGCTGATCTGTCTGTGAAAACTGTGTTTCCGGATAAAGTGTTCCTCGTGTTAGCAACCAAAATGCAGTACTCATTTGCAGATTTGGAGGGGGGGATCATCCTTTTTTTCCCTGGCAATAAAAAAAAAGACAGAAGAAGCAGAGAGGAAAACACAAGAGGGCTACAAATTGGAAATTACATCTGGAACCCCCCCATCCTCCATATACGATTCCATGAATGAGGCAGTTTCACGAATGAAGTCCTGTCTGGAAGCCTAACAGACTACTGTTTTTATCTCACTGGCATCAATCACCTTGTGAATCTCATGTGAAAAATGGAAATTACTGGCACTGCTATTACTCAGGCAATTTTTAAAAGCCTAGATTGAACGTTAGACCTGGCTAGTGAGCTGTGCAGAGATACTAGAATATATCATGTTTTACATACACAAAAACCCAGGTTCAACTCCCAGTAGCTCCAGATAAGGTGAAGCTGGATTTTTTGTCTGAACTAATGGAAAACTGCTGCCAAGCCATGTGGACTTCGATACCACTGCCAAGACGTCCATGCCCTGCTTCCACCAAATGTTCTGGATTCTGAATCCACTTGAGGGCCATGAAGGTTGCAGAGGATGGGAGATGTAGCTCTGCAGATCCGGAAGGCATTGACTTTGGGAAGATTGGTGCAGACCATACTGAATTAGGTGGACCAAGGGCATTAGCGGCAGCTTTCCTTGTTCCTACAAATGCACAAGCAAACCTACAGAACTACAAATGTAGGATTAGATCTGTCTGGTCAATCAGCACACGTTTCAGTAAAAATATCAGTGCCTGAAAGGGAATGCGCATGACCACTTTTTCTCTCTCCAAGATAGTTTTCTTCGTAGTGAAGCAGAGGAACATGAGACTCTCTTGTGGCTTCTTGTGTGTCTTGTGGGAACCTGGTTTCCCACTGCATGGCCAGAAAATCCATTTCATAAGTCTTCTAGCCTTCACAGACTGTAAAGGATTGAGACAACAAATACGGTCAAGGAAATGATGACCGAGAAGTAATTAATGAGTGATGACTAGGAAGGCAAATGCTTTGGATACAACTCGGAGAGTTCCTGGTGTACACACCATCGACAAACATATTCTTTCTCTTTGTTACCATTATTTACCAGAAGGGGAAGGGAGTGGGTGGACAGAAGAGGGACCGACCCTTCATGGGGACAACCTCGTTAGCCGCGTCCCACGCAGCATCCTCCATTCAAAGATTAGTGTGGATTTTTGTACTTTGCCTCATCATGACTCCTTAATCCGGCATATATTCTAAGGGAATAATGCCATTAGAGGATTAATGCCACAAGTTGATTTGAAAAAAAAGGATTTGCAAACATTGAAATCCTATATTGCGTGCCCTTAATCATGAAGTATTATTTTGGGGATTTTCTCATCAGTTTTGCAGTGATTTTAGTCTAGTACAGGTGGAACTCCTCAAGAGCGCACTAAATTCCACTCCAGTGTTTATTTTACATTAAGGTAATGGTCCGCTGTAACAAAACAAAACAAAAGCTGGGTGCACAGAGTTCCTGGGTGGATTTGCATCCTGAGCTTCTGCAATGTGCAAGCGAACTGAAGTCTTATTGGTTTTACTAGATGTACTCTGGCATGACTAAGACCACGTCCAGACAGACATATGTCCCCCCTCTTTGCCACATTCCTTGGGCAGATTGGTCCACTCTTCCCCCCCCCAACATCCACATGACAAGCAGAGCTATTTGCCTCAGTTTGCCCACAGGGCACCCTAACACACACCATTCTGAAACCCTGTCAAGGACTTCTCCTTTTTTCAGTTGGTGGACTCTAGTTTAGCCCACTCTAGTTTAGCACACAGTCACTGGGCTGTCAAGGACTTCTCCTTTTTTCAGTTGGTGGACTCTGGTTTAGCCCATTCTTGGTGCACACAGTCACTGGCAATGGACTAAAAGCAAACCTTGCAGCTCTCGAGGCTCCTTCCGGTTTGAACTTCTGGTATTGTGAAGTGCTTAATAAACAAGCCACTTCAGGATATTGGCAAATTGAACACCTGAAAAAACACTTTTTTTTCCCTAATCTTTTTTTCCCATGGTGGGCGGGTATCTGTTGCGTGCAAAAAGGAGGTGTAAAGGGCAAGCAAACTGTGAATGGAGAAGCACGTGTGGATCTATTAGTAATAATAGTTGCTCTCATTGCAGGCTTACAAGCCATCCTTCCTCCAGGCCCCCAGCTTTGGACTTCTGTGGAGGCCACCACGAAAGGACTTTAGAGACTCACAGACCCCAATGAAGCTAACTCAGGGCCCAAATTGAGCCAGAATGGTGCAGGGTCAAGTGGAGCCTTTGGACCAGTTGCAGGAGTAGTGCAAACTCATGAAGTTATTGTTTCCTTCTATAGCAATAAATTCTGTTCAGCTTGAAGCGGATAGAGTGGAGTTGGTGGATATGGGAATGGAGGAGGGCTTGACCACCATCACTGTCTCCTCCGTTCTCTTCTCTCCTTTTTTATTCTCCGTAAAGAATCTGGAGGGTTGACGACTCTGTGTGTGTGTGTGTGTGAGTGAGTGAGTGAGTGAGAGAGAGAGAGAGAGAGAGAGAGAGAGAGAGAGAGAGAATGCATGGCTGGGATCACTACAAAAGCCTAAATGATGCCGGTTCAGGAAATCAACCCCATAAGCTGTGATTTCATCCGCGATGATTCCATCCTTCCACTCTGTGAGCATTTGCTGTACTCTGTTCTGTGGTTTGAAGGGCCCTCTAGACATCCCGTTTTAAAAATCTGGTAGAAGAATTGAGAAAATGCTTCTTCATTTGTACCAGAGCATTGCACAATTAAAAATTATGGGTGTATAAGAAATGTATGTACTGTAAAATTGAAAGCAAATTAAAATCTTAAAATAGACTATTTTCTTTTACCAGAAGTGGGCTACTTCAATAGTGTTATCTCAGTCATTTGCTTGGATACAAAGTCCCGTATCCAAGTAGTCCCAATTTACCTGATTATTCTTTGATCTTCCTACTTCACTTTGAAGTCTATTAAGTGACTTC